AAAATGTTTTAAAATTATGATGGCAACATATGTACAAATGTGCTTGATACAATTGATGCATGGATTGTTATAAGAGCTGAAAGAGCCCCCAGTAAAATGATTTATTAAGAAAAAACCAAAAAAGCTGTGGCAGATGGTAAAAGATATAGTTGGAAATTTACAATCATAAATGACCAGAATAGAAAAGAAAAAAGAAAAAAATTTTCAAATAAATGGCTTCTAATCGATTTGATGGTAGTGGATTTTAAAAGTATCTGTAGTTTGTCTTACCAATGTTTTGTGGTTTTCATATTTTGTTGTATTTATCATTAAATATTTCAAATTTTTTATGCTACTGTAAGTAGAATTTTTAGTTTCTATATCTGCTTGTTCACTGGTATGTACATAGAACTAAAATTGATCTTTGTACGCTGGTCTTGCACCTTTCTCATGAGGGACTAGAATAATCCTAGTATGATTCTTAGCAGACACTTGTGTAATTCGTGCGTGTCCACCTTTCCTAAGGATGCACCACAATGTTGGAGTTGGTGGTTTTACATGAACCGAATCCTACTGAATTTATCATTAAGCTTGTCAATTTTCACTCAACACTCCTTTCCAACTGGATTCACGTAGCTGCATCAAGAGCCAGTTCATGGGCCCGGTAGAGGTTCCATGATGGAATTCTTACCTTCCATGTGGGAGAAGGGTGGGTTCCTGGCCATCTTATGCACACCTACTACCCATCTGTCAGTGGAGGCTTTGTTGTCTAGACCAACATTAAGTAAAGCCTGACAATCTACTTCTGCAAACCGGCCGGTGGAAACCCTAGATGGCTGACAACAGTCCGATCTGCAGCCCACCAATGTGATGACTCAGGCATGGCAGCATTTTGCTCCACTGTGTAACGGGGTCACCTTGACTGGGGGCCAACTCAGAGGCAGTGAACACCAACAATCTCACAGGACGAAAGCAACAATGGACCCGTGTCCCTCTGACGGCCATTTGGCTTCTTTCTGTTCTTCACTACTAGCCAGTGCTGCAGAGCATATCCTGGTCCACGTACCCTCTGATACACGGGAGTGGTTACTGTGGGCTGGTGGGGCTACCTGCAGACTGTCTCCATAAAGGGTTGGTCAGTGGGCATGCCCCCAACAAGTCTAAGGGCTCCCTCTCTTCGTCTTCACTGAATACACAACCATCACAATGATCTTCCTGGAGTTGGAATACGCAAGAGAAAAGAGTTGGACAAGGGAATACTGGAGTCCTTCCCCCGTGTGCTACATGAAGGGTCTTCTCTCCCCATTCCTCGGGCCAACAGCCCCCATGCCCATCCTCGGAGGAGAATGCCATGCACACACCCTGTTCAACGCCTATTAACCCGTCCTCCTGGCTCATTGAAACCCAAGTTCTTCAGTCCCAACCCACACCCACGTCCACCTAGGAGCCTTGACCAGTCTAGTTTGCTCCAGACAGAGCTTGCTTCAAATCAGCCGAAGTTTACTCCACCTCCTCCTAGGTTCGCTTGGACACTGCCTGGAGAGATGAACTTCTTCCCGAAAGACACCACGGGCTACCTGACTAGATCCCCCGACTTGTTGTTTGCAGCTGCTTTGACTGATGGAGCCTTGGACAGCCAACCTGGGATGGGCTTGGCTGCTAACTGGAAGCTTGGAGGTCCTTGTCCCCACCAGAAGACCTCTGAAGAAAGGGCTGGCTGGGACTCTTAACACACATGGGGTCTCCATGGGTTGGGTCGACCTGATGGCAGTGGGGTTTTGCCGGGCCTGATACCTGATGGAGTTTTTAAAAAAGATCATTTTATTGGGGCTCTTACAGTTCTTGTCACTATCCATCCATCCATTGTGTCTAGCCCATTTGTACATATGCTGTCATCATCATTTTCAAAACATTTTCTTTCTACTTGAGTCCTTGATATCAGCTCCTCATTTTGCCTCCTCTCCCATCCTCTCTCCCTCATTACCCTGTGATAATTTATAAATCCCCACCCCCCATGTCTTACACCAATCGCTCTTTCCCTTCCCCCACTTTTCTGTTGTCCATCCCCATAGGAAGAGTTTATATGTAGATCCTTGTGATAGGTTCTATCCTCCCCCCACCTTACCCTTACCCTTCTCTTATCTCTACTCTCATTATTGGTCTTGAGATGTTTATCTGTCCTGGATTCCCTGTGTTGTGAGTTCTTATCTGTACCTGTGTACGTCCTCTGGTCTAGTCAGATTTTTAAGGTAGAATTGAGGTCATGGTTGTGGGGGGAAGGAAGCATTACAGAACTAGAGGAAAGTTGTATGTTTCATCAGTGCTATACTGCACCCTGACTGACTCATCTCTTCCTTGTGATCCTTCTAAGGGAATGTCCAATGGGCTTTGGGTCTCCACTCCATGCCCCACCCCACCCCATTCACATTGATGATTTTTTTGTTCTGGGTCTTTGATGCCTGATACCTGATCCCATTGACACCTCTTGATCACACAGGCTGGTGTGCTTCTTCAATGTGGGCTTTGTTGCTTCTCAGCTAGATGGTCACTTGTTTATCTTCAAGCCTTTAAGACCCCAGATGCTCTATCTTTTGTTAGCTGGGCACCATCATTTTGTTGCTTATGCACCCATTTTGTCTTCAGTGATCCTGTCCAGAAGGTGAGCATCACAGAATGCTGGATTATCAGAACAAAGTGTTTTTGTGTTGAGGGAGTACTTGAGATGAGGTCCAATGTCTATCTGCTACCTTAATACTTAACATATAAATATAAGTACATAGATCTATTTTCCTATCATTATATATAGATTTACTTATGTATATACCTGTATTTAGACCTCTGTAAGTGTCCTTTGCCTCCTAGTTCTTTCCTCTATTTCCTTTTACTTTCCTCTTATCCCACTATCAAGTCCAGCCTTCATTCGGGTTTCAGTAATTCCTCTTGGTTACATTGCCCTGATTAAGCCCCACCAGGTATCCTACACACTTCTCTCCACCTGATGGAGTTCTTAATGCAAGACAGAACATAAGTAGGTAGTTATGATAAACTTTCTAAAAGCCATAATCAGAACCTTTTAAAATGCAGCCGGTGACCTTAACCGAGGCCTGAGCAGTCTTTGGTTCATGTACAGCTCTCAGAAGGAGGTATTTTCTGCACAGCGACACCCAGAGGATACGAGTCCAACCCCCATGCACGTGATGGAATGGTGTGAATGTCTCTGCAGAAAGATGTGCTTTTGTCTATCTGTTAGTCTGCCCACCTGCCGAAGGGAACGCATTGCCCCCACGCAGAGGCATTTCCGGACAAAGCTTTCCAGGAGACCACTTACTCACCTGTCATCACGGAGCAATGCGAGCCGGGACCGCTCCCTAAGTACTGATACTCCGTGAAACTAAAGCTTCCGGAGCTGTCCTCCCCGAGGGACTGGGAGATCTCCTGGATAGTGCCCATTTCCTGCAGGAATTCTTCGGACAGCGGGCTCTCAAGGTCGTCAGCCTCGAGCGGGGACAGCGGGCAAATGGGGCTTTCCAAGTCCACCATCTTGATGGACAGTGCGGGTCACGCCACCCTGAGCCAGTCTGCGGGCGGAAAGAGAGGGAATGGGTCATACGGACCAAGAGAATGTGAGCTTCCTTCCGAGACGGAAGACACACCAGACTTCCCAAAGAGCAGGCTTCGGCCATCTTTCCTCTGCCTGACTCGCAGCAAGCCCATTAAAAAATGGGAATCCCAAAGTCACTCCACTTTGAGGCACCCATGGTGATGCCAGCCTTGTCACCCACCCATCCCCCCCCACCCCCCGTGTCTGAGGGACTGCTATTTGCCCAGTGCTGCTCCCAGGCTGGAGCATGGCTGAAGCCAGCCCCCGCTCTCGAGTGGGGAGATGGGCCATGGCCTGAGAGGCATGCAGGGGACATTCTGGGGGCGACCTGGGGACTGGGCAGATGTCCCTGGGGAGATCACACAGACAAAGTGAGCAGCGGTACAAAGGGCCTGGGGTAGATGCACACCATTGTGAGGACCACTGGGGCTTGGGCTGAGGATGCAAGGGGGGTAAGACATCAGCATGGGGGGGAGTGAACCTACTATCACATGATCTCCAGAACCCCTTTCCTCATCCGCAATGGGGGCACAAAGCGGGGCTCTTGGGAAGAGCTAAAGAAACAAGGTAAGACCAGACAGGATGAGCAATGCAGACGGGAGGCGGGGCAGCAAATCCAGGCCAGTTCTGGTACCGGTTCTTTCCCATCCACTGTGAAAGCCACACCTGCATCCGCCCCTCACCCCTCACAGGGAAACGAGATGGAAGTTCCACGCTTAGTTCTTAGTAAAGGACTGTCTACCCAGCATCATGCCCTGTTGAGAACCATGAGGCACAACGACAGGTCGCTGAAAACAAAGCAAACAGAGACAGAATTTCTTTCACTGCTGGTTGGCTTCCGAGACTCATGAAAACCACAGCTGGCAAGTTGATTCCGACTTGCAGCACCCTCGAGGACAGAGCAGGGCTGTTCCCTGGGGTTGCCAAGGCCAGCGCTCTTCACGGGAGCAGGCACAGAGGACCTTGGCTCTCTCTGGGAGAGGCTGATGGGCTGCAACTTCCAAATTTGCAGTTAGCAGTCCCTCGTAGTGCAGCCTTCTGTGCGACAGTGAGACGTCCCCTGGTCCCGCACCATTCCCAGGATGGGTCACAGACCTGACTGTTGCGATCCACAGCGTTGGGTGCCTGACTTTTAAGAGCAGACTGTCAAGCCTTTCTTCCTGTTCATCTGGTCTGGAAGCTCTGCCCAAACCTGTTCAGGATCATAGCTACCCCCAAGCTCCACTGACAGATGAACGTGGCTGTGCACGGACTGGGTATGGAGGCCAGGTCTCCGGCGTGGAAGGGGGCATTCCAGCCCTGTGCCACTGTTCTCCACTTCTTCAGGGCTGGGAGTGTCTCTGGCTGATCTCCATATCCATCCTTCTGTCCCAAGCCCTGCTCCACGGCAGGTGTTCAAGCGCGACCTCTCACGCTGAGCTCAGTGCCTGGAACACGGCGGCTGCGGGTTCGTGACTTCCTCTATGAAGAACCAGGCGGCCTTCTGGGAGAACTCACTGGGCCCTGTCTCAGTCTTCTGGGTGGCAGATGGCGCACGTGCTTGGTGTGTGACAACCCAAATCCGGCAGCTGTCGAGAACACAATCCTGAGAGATGCTCTGCAGGAAGAGTGGGCGGCACTTCTCAGAGTGAATTACAATCACCTCAGAGAACGCATAATAAAATCTGCTGGAGGAGATACCTGAGCAACTATTGTTGTTGCTTCTGGTTCCTGCGGAGATGACACCGGCTAGCAGCCACCCTCCAGGATGGAGCAGGACTGCCCTCTAGACCTTCCAGCAGCAGGCAGCACAGGCCTGGTCACACGCTGACCTTCAGCTGGCCGTCGGTCGTGGGCTGCACCGTTCATGCCACCCAGGTGTGAGAAGGAACAATGCAGTCTCAAGTCAGTCGGAGAGAGCACACCAGGAAGGGCGGTTTGCAGAGCAGAAGCGACTACCTGTCTGCACGCTTCTCCAGAGACAAGGCCTTGGCATCTGGCCTGGGGCGCAGGGGCAGGCACTCAACTGAGAAAAGGACTGCGTGTACGCTAAGGGAGTAAGGGAGGTAAAGGAGAGCCCGTCCAGGGGCCACCTGAGAAGCAGCAGGTAAGGGCCTGGGAGAGTGCCCAGCACGATGGTAAATGAGGAGACCCCTGAAGAACAGGTATCATCTCTAGAAGAAAAGATGACTCAGGCGAACCCAGGGGAGCCCTCGTGGTGTAGTGGGGGATGCACTGAGCTCATAACCACAAGGTCATCGGTTCAAACTCACCAGCTGCTCCGTGACAGAAAGATAAGGCTGTGTGCTCCCTTAAAGCTGTACTGTCTTGGAACCCTCCAGAAAAGTGTCATTGGCTCAATTACAACTCTCAGGTACGGTGGACATGCACTCGGCAGGGACCAGTCCCTGGAGAAGGACATCCTGCTCGGTGAAGCAGAGGGTCAGTCCAAAAGAGGAAGGCACGTCCCCTCCCAAGAAGGACTGACCCGGTGGCTGCAACAATGGGCTCATGCACAGTAGCGGTTGTGAGAATACCGCAGGAACCGGCAATGTTTCCTGCTGCTGTCTGTACATGGGTCGCTATGAGCTGGGGCTGACTGGACAGCACCTGACAAGTCACCGCCACTCTGTATCCAGTGATGGAAAGGCAAACGGCAGACCACTTGTCCAGTGGGAAACACTTGTAGAGCAGAGTGGCAGATAGGACATAATGAGCCAGTTGTTCGATTTCCCACCACCTTTAACTCTGCACCTCATCACATTCTTACAGTTGTCTGTCTACTCCTTAGACATTGTATTTAATCACTGGGAGTCCACTTTAGCTACATGGGTTGGAGCTGGATTAAAAAGAACACTTCCGAGTGAGCGAAAGCAAGCCCAAAGCCCTCTGCCCTGTCACCACCACTCACAGCGCAGGGTTAATGGTTCCCACTTGCAGATGACTCACGAGTTAAGGAGGCGAGTCTCAAAACTGCCCAGGACACTCACCTGAACAGAAGACACAGGTCAGAGTCAATGCATGATCAAGAGTGGGAGACTATTCATGTCAATGCAGGAGAAAGGTGACAGCTAGGAAACCTTTGGGGTCAGCCCATAGGGTCCGACAGGGTCCTGGGGGTCCTAGAGAGTCCTCACCCAGCAGCACCGACTTGGTGCCAACGGGCTTGGTTTGAGCATGCATCAGAATGGACTCAAGCCAGCACACCTGACACCTGCTCACAGCACACAGGCTTAACCAGAGGCCTCTAGAGCTTTCCCAACATTGCCTAAGGCAGTCCCACGTGACATTTCATCATCAAAGGAATTTTGGAGAGGTGAAAACTGAGTTAAAGGTCCAACGTGGGCCATGTTAGTAACTCCGAGCCTCCATGCCTTTACCTTCCAAGTGGCCCAAAGAACACCCTCCAAGCGCAACATCGGGTCAAACAGCAGTTGCTTTCTCCTCCCGTCAAGAGGCGCAGTCTAGAAACCCACAGAGGCCGTTCTACCCTGCCCAGTAGGGTCCTCAGAAGTCAGAATCGACTCACGGGCAGTGTGTCTGCCTTGCGCGTCGTTTTCCTGCATGTACGTCGCTATGGCTCTGTGGGTGTGACACCAACAAGCGGAGGAGAGCTGGCTTCATTTGGTGTCACCGAGTCAGACTCCAGTAGGCTGAGAAGACGCGCCGACAGCAGCCAGCAGCGAGGAGAATGGCGGGCCTGGGCCAGAACGCAGCAGGGCGCAAGGGCCTGGTCAGCCGCAAGGCTGACCGCCGCGACACTTCCTGGGGACCTTCCGCGATGAGCACTCGGATAGAATTCGATGGGAGACAGGAGTTCCCGGTTGGGGCAAAGGGCTAAGTGCTTGATTCTCCCAGCCAGAAAGCTGGGGGTTCCAGTCCACTGGGGGCACCTGGACAGACAGGCCTGGTGACGAGCCCCTGCAAAGTCCTGCACACAGCCATGCAAACCCCAAGGAGCAGCCCCTCTCTGCAGGCGGGGCCCCCGTGAGTGGGAATGGACCGGGCAGCAACGAACTACTGGAACAACACGCGGCACGCAGGTGTCCCTGAGCGGTGCCAGCTTTCGAATGTGGCTGCAACGGGCAAGGTGCCGTGTCCAAAGGCTGCTTAGATGTACTTGGCAATCTGATGCCCTCAGAACCACCCACTGGAAACCCTACAGCAGCTCCCCCCCACCCCCCACCGAAAACCCGACAGCACAGCTCTGCCCCACAGCCAGCGTCACCCTGACTGGGAATCACTATCCGAACTGGTTCCATCGGTCACACGACCATGTCCAGCAAACCTCGGAGGGCTGCCCACTTCCCGAGCCAAAGTGACCATCACATCTGGGGCGAGAGTCGGTGTTTTAGGAACATTCATGACACACACACTGAGCAGTCACCTGAGCATGACTATGAGGTCACCTGACTCCCAAAGGAACCCGGGCTCAGGGCTGTAAGTGCGAGTGTCGACGCCCACCTGAGAGCGTAGGGTGGGAAGAAGGAGCGGAGCAGCACGGGAGGGGACGTCATGTCTGCGAACACCCCTCGCCTTCCCCATACCAGGCAGGGCAGGCAGCCTCACTGCACCGACGCAGAGGCTCAAAGAGGCAAGGGCTCACCCAGCAATCAGGGGCAGAGACTCAGATCAACAAAGACTGCAAATGCAACCTGATGCATCCTGGGGTACAGGGACTCCCAGAGGGGCCAAGGAAGGCTCTGCGAGGGACGGGGCACTCATGGGACTCCTGAAAGGCGACTAGAAAGAGGCGATAAGGGCAGTTTGAGGGAAACGCACACCTGGGGCTGAGCCATGGCGAGGGCCCTGTCGGAGGACAGGCCAACCCCGGGCCTCTCACTTGGACAGCTGTGCGGCTGACAGGTGACTGTGGAACAAGTCACTCCCAAACTTACTGATAAGTGCAGGCCTGTGGGCTCCCCCTCGGAACCACCCTATGAACAAGGGGGCTTCAAAAGTCCATGGACAAATGGAACGTGAAGATCACAGACGTTACCCACGGACTTTCTGGAGCTCCCTCCCATTCCAGACAAAGCCTTTCCTGGTCTGTCGTCACCCTCACAACCCGCTATGATGAACACTGTGTCCATTCATCTGTCGAAAGCCTCCTTTTTCTTTCACCTTCTTCTCTAGCAAGCATGATGCCTTTCTCCAGGGACCGGGCTCTCCTGGTCACAGGCCCAAAGGGCGTGAGACAAAGTCTCACCATTCTGGTCTCCAGGGAGCATGCAGGCAGTCCCTTCCCCAGACAGACAGATGGGTCTGTTCTTCTGGCAGTCAGGGCACCTTCAACACTCGTCTCCGTGGGGAGGAGACGAGCCAGTCGGGGGGCACTGTAGCAACGATGAAGCTTACAACTTTCCTCTCGTTCCTAAATGCTCCCCCCACCACCCACTATCATGATCCCAATTCTACCTTACAAATCCGGCTAGACCAGAGGCTGTACACCGGTACAGATAGGAACTGGAACCACAGGGAATCCAGGACAGATGAACCCCTCAGGACCAGTGGTGAGAGTGGCGATACCAGGAGGGTGGAGCAAAGGTGGGGTAGAAAGGGGGAACCGATTACAAGGATCTACATATAACCTCCTCCCTGAGGGACAGACAACAGAAAAGTGGGTGAAGGAAGGCGTCAGACTGTAAGATATGACAAAATAATAATTTATAAATTATCAAGGGTTCATGAGGGGGTAGGGAGGGGTAAAAATGAGCTGATACCAAGGCCTCAAGTAGAAAGCAAATGTTTTGAGAATGATGATGGCGACAAATGTACAAATGTGCTTGACACAATGGATGGATGGATGGATTGTGGTAAGCATTGTACGAGCTCCCAATAAAATGATTTAAAAATAATTAAAAAAATAAAATAAAATTATAACTGAAAAAAAATATTCATCTCCGGCATAATTCAAATGCATCGAATGACAATCAGTGCACGTGGAAGCAGCCATCGAGGGATCAGAGGACGCACTGCACTGGGTCAATCTGCTGCGCGAGAGAGACCTCTTCCAAGTGCTGAAAAGCAAGGGTGTTTCTTTGAGGACTGAAGCGCCTCTGACCCAAGCCAGGATATTTTCCATCGCGTGTGATAAGGAAGGCTGACAAAGAACTCACGTGCGAGCATACACGTGGTGGTGGGCTGCTCTGGGGCAGCCTCATTTGTACGCCCCGTGGTTGGTGCTGGCTGGTGGCCGGGTGGTCTTGACGGCAAGTTCTTTCCTCCTTACAGCGGCTGGCCCAGGCTGAGGCAGCAGCAACAGCACCCCAGGCGGGAACAGCAGGGCATCTGCAGGCCTCTGCCGGAAGTTCTTCAGCAGAGGCCGGTCCAGATTCAGAGGTATGGACACTCTGCTCCTGGCTGGGAGGGCACTTCAAAGAACACGGGGACTGAACACAGGGGCGGGTGGAAGGAGCTGGGGCTGCAGCAGGAGGGAGACTCAGTGCCCATCATGATAAGCACATGACAGAGCTCGGGTTTTAGCTACAGGTAGTTGAGACGAATGTGAAACAGGAGGGATCCTGGCAAGATCCGCGCCAAGGCTGCGCCGCCGGCAGCAGGCAGAGTCTGGATTTAAAAGAAGGCAAGGCCCACTGCGGGGCTGCTGTGACGGTCGCAGTCAGCAAGGAGAAGCAGGATGGAGCCCCAGAGGGATCTGGGTGTCAGTGGGGATGACCTCACACGTGGGCCTGGGTGACTGTGGGGAGGGGGCTAGGGGCGGGCACCACATCCAGGGAAACCCAGAACAGCTGGAAAAGAGCAGGATTGGGGTGTGGGGACAGCTGAGGCTGGGGACAGACGAAGGTTTATCTTTCAGCGAGTGTTGCAGTGTGCACGGACAGACGAGGGCCTGGCTTCAGAAAGCTCCTGGAAGAATCCCACGATCTTTCACAACTCCGTTTTCCACACATTTTTTTGAAGCCTCCTAAGGCAGGCTCGGCCTCTTGGAGCCTCATTTCCTTCAGGTCAGTTCTAACTGTGGCACCACCATGCGCCCGGAGGAGAACTGCGGCTCCTACAACTACCAATGGCTGCATCTAGCAGAAGGTCCCTGGGAGGTTAAGTGGCTGCGCGGAAAGGATGGCCCCTCAGGTGCCCCAGTGCCCCAGGAGGCCTCCTGGGATCTGCTTCTGAACGGGCACAGCCTGAGTGCCCCATGCAGTGAAGTTCGACTCTGTCCGTGCCAGCCTGCTGTGAACTGGATCCAACTCACTGGCCATTGTTTGTCAATATCCGGGCAGGAGGTCATGCTGCTGGGCAGACTCAAAGAGAAGACCTTTGGGTTCAGGGTCCAAAGATGGCTGTAAAGCAGCTGCCGCCGAGTCTGTTCCCCCTCTGCCTCACGGGGAGCCCATGTGCCTGTCAGAGCACCACTGGGCACAACCGGGCACCACTGGGTCTCCACTGGCTGTTTTTTTGGAACTTGATCACCAGGCCTTGCTTGTGGGGTACCTCTGGGTGGACCAGAGACTCTCCAACTTTTTGATGAGCAGTCGAGCATGTGTACCAGGTGCATCACCGAGCAACCCCAGGGAGGCAGGAGGGTCCAGTGCGGTCACCATGCTCCCTTTGCCTCACCAGCAGGGTCCAAGGAGGAGGTCACGGAGGCCAGTCCAGTGCTCAGGGGAGGGGGTGGGGCCCAGACTGCAGATCCACCCCTTGGCTGTGTCACCTCAGCACCTGGGTGCTGTACCTGGGTTCCTAATACCTACCTGGCCAGGTTATCCTGAGCATTTGGGGACAAGCGGGCACCAGGAGGTATTTTCCCACCACAAATAAGTCCTACCACCACCCCTACCCCCTTGGAGGGAGAGGAAGAAAGAACATTCACGTGAGAACCCACACAGGCCCAGAACAAAGGCCAGAGACAATGGAGGAGGTGGCGCTGTCCACACAGAGGCAGCATCAACACGGGCAGCGTTGGCACTAGGGTTGTAACGCAGGGGTCACCAGGGGCACCACCCGGGGGCGGAACCCATGGTTTTCCACCCACATTCTGAGGACCACTCACTGTCCGTTTTCATCACAGACCAATGTGCAGTAAGTATCGGTGTAAACTGCTCACAGGCAGGCTTTTTTAAACGATGTGAAGACTCACAGCAAAATTGTTTTGAAAAAACCTTTCTCTACTGACGGACACCATGACAGTGGTTGCCATGGGCCGTCAGGTGGGTTCTGACCCGCAGCGACCCTACACAGAACAGAGCAGAACACTGCCCACCCCTGCGCCATCTTCAGTGGGTCCTATGTGTGAAGCATCCATGCAGCCACTGTGCCACTCCTCCTTGTCCAGGGCCTCCCTCTATTTTGGCTGCCAAGTATGATGTCTTCCTCCAAGGACCGGTCTCCCCTGACGACGTGCCCAAAGTACAGGAAGCACGGTCTCGCTGGCCTTGCTTCTCGGAGCATTCTGGGCACTTCTTCCAGGCTGATTAGCTTGTTCTTTTGGTAGGCCAAGGTCCTCTGGGTTCGCCACCAGCTACCAGAATTCAAATGCACCGCTTCTCCTTCAGGCTTTCTTATCCAACGTCCAATGTTCACGTTTACCTGAGGTGACTGAGAATGCCGTGGCTGGGGTCAGGTGCAGCTTGGTCCCCCAAGTCTCATCATTGTTCAGCAACACTTCAAAGAGTTCCCGGGAGGCAGATTTACCCCCTCCCCCGCAATGCCTCCTTTGATTTCTTGACTGCTGCTTCCAGGAGCACTGACTGTGTGCCCAAGCAAGGGGAAGTCTTTGAAAACTGCGTCTTTTCTCCACTTACCAGCCATCTGTCAGTCGTGTTGGTACTTTTTTCCTTCGTGGTCACCAAAATGGAATAGCTTGGGGTGGGGAGCAGGCAGTGCATTGCTGCCACTTGGCACACTGCCGCCTGCCCCCCTGTATGTTGTACTTTCCCCTCTTCAGGAAATGATTTGCTTTGGTTTAACAGAGACTGAAGTTTTCCCACTGTCGTTGTGTTGTTGTTGTTGTTGTCTTAGTTAGACAGACAACAGTACTGGTGCGGATGTGAAGACATTAGAACTTCAGTCCTGGGCTAGTGGGGCTCTGAAAGGATGGCGCTGCTCTGGGAAACAATGGAGCGGCTTCTCCAAGAGTTACACCAGCCTCACCATCCAGCCCTGCGACTCCACCCCCTGGTCTATGCTCAGACCAAACCCACTGCCACGGAGTTGATGCCGACTCATTCGGACCCTACACGAGGGTTTCCGTGGCAGTAACTCTTTAAGAGAGAAGACAGCCTTGACGTTCTCTCCCACCAGGCAGGAGTTGAGTCACCAGCCTTGTGGTCAGTGGGCCAACCCCTTCCCTGACGGTACCGCCAGGGCACGTACTCACGAGCTGAAAGCACACACGCATGCCAAGACGTGTGCACTAGCATTCATAGAAGCATTCCTCACCCATAAGACAAAAGCCCACTGACTGCTGAGTGGAATAGTTTTGGTCAGTAAAAAGGAAATGTATTAACATGCTACCATGTGGCCAGTTCTTAAACACACTGGACTGAAAATGCTAAGGAGCCAGGCACAAAAACCACATCCTGTCTGCTTCCATCTACATGGAATGCACAGAAGAGGCAACTGACATTGTTGAGACAGAGTGTCGATTAGTGGTTGTCTAAGGCTAGGACCAGAGCCCTGGTGACACGGTGGTTTGGGCTGTGATCTGAAAGGTCTGCAGTTCAAAACCACCAGCTGCTCTGGAGGAGAAAGACAGGGCTTTCTACTCTCACAAAGAGTGACAGTCTCGGAAAGTCAGAGCAGTTCACCCTGCCCTGCAGGGTCGACTCAAAGGCCGTGGGTCAGAGTTTTGTTGGGAATGTTAGGTGGGGTTGCCATGCATCAGAATCCCCTAGACCAGTGGTTCTCAACCTTCCTAATGCCGCGACCCTTTAATACAGTTCCTCAGGTGGTGGGGACCCCCCAACCATAAAATTATTCTTGTTCCTGCTTCATCACTGTTATTTTGCTCCTGTTTTGAATTGGCCAACCCCCGTAAAAGGGTCGTTTGACCCCCAAAGGGGTTGCAACCCACAGGCTGAGAACCGCTGCACTAAGTTTTTGGTTTTGGGGGGGTTTTTTTGGTAGTACTGAAGGGGATTTGCAGGAGCCCTGGAGGCACTATGGGCCAGGTACTGGGCTGCTAACCCCAAGGTCAGTGGTTCAAACTTGCAAGCTGCTCTAAGGAAGAAAGAGGAGGCTGCCTGCTTCCATAGTGACTTAGAGCAGTGGTTCCCAACCTGGGGATCGTGACTCCTTTCAGGGTCCAACGACCCTTTCACAGAGGTCACTCAATTCATCACAGTAGCAAAATGACAGTTAAGAAATAGCAACGGAAATACTGTTATGGTTGGAGGTCACCACCACAGGAGGAGCTGTATGAAAGGGTCGCGGCACGAGGAAGGTGAGACCCGCTGACTTCGTCTGGGAAACGCACACAGAGGTCTCAACTTGGGTTGAGGGGGCTGGTGGACACGGGGACTGGCTGGTGGCGGGGCAGAGGGCTCCTTGCTGTTCTAAATTAGATGACAGGCACAGCTGCACCACCCTGCGAATACAGCCCCAAACGATCGAACTGCAAGATGGGCATTGGGCAAAAAGTGAATTACATATCAAAGGCATGATTTACACACTAAACAAAAATAGGCTGGATGAACAATCTGGAGGAGAAAACAACGGGACCGAAGGTCTGGGGGGACATGGGAGAGGGGGAGGTGGGGGGGAAAGGAAGTGGTGTTAGCAAACCCAGGGACAAGGGAACAACAAGTGATCCAAATCGGTGGTGAGGAGGGTATAGGAGGCCTGGTAGGGCTTGATCAAGAGTAATATAACCGAGAGGAATTACTGAAACCCAAATGAAGGCTGAGCATTATAGTGGGACAAGAGGAAAGCAAAAGGAAATAGAGGAAAGAGCTAGGAGGCAAAGGGCATTTATAGAGATCTAAATAAAGGCATGAACATATGTAAAATATTTATATAGGATGATGGGAAAATAGATCTGTGTCCATATATTTATAGGTTTAGTATTAAGGTAGCAGATGGACATTGGGCCTCCACTCAAGCACTCCCTCAATGCAGGAATATTTTGTTCTATGAAACTGGCTTTCCTTGATACTCACCTTCCTGACATGATCGCTGAAGACAAAGTGGGTGAATAAGCAAATGTGGTGAAGAAAGCGGATGGTACCTGGCTATCAAAAGATATAGCATCTGGGGTCTTAAAGGCTTGAAGGTAAACAAGCAGCCATTAGCTCAGAAGCAACAAAGCCCACATGGAAGAAGCACACCAGCCTGTGTGATCATGAGGTGTCAAAGGGATCAGGTATCAGGCATCAAAGAAC